AGGTCTTTCTCCACAGACCCAAGCAGCCCTCTGGCTGCTGTAATTTTCAAATTTTCTAATTGGAAGCTTCAGCCCCAAGCTGTCCTACAACTTCAGCACATAGAAACTATCGACACACACAAAATCAATTATGGTCGTAGCGTCTGGTTGCTCAAAAGTCCGGTAACTTGAATCCTCCCCGCTTTGGATGCGAATAGTCACATTATGGATCTAAGTGATGGCATAAGCTATGTATTCCTCATCACAGTTCGCACCCGATGCAAGATCAGCAAAGTACGCATCGTCAGTGATGTCAGCAAGGACTTCCATGACCTTCATGTGCTCCACAGTGTTGGACCGGAACTCTGCAGAAGTAATGGACGGTGCTCTACCCAACACAACCCGATGAAGGCATTGCCAGTAACTATTTTGCTGACCGTCAATCACATCCTCAGGAATGAAGTACTTTGGGGCAGTGAGCAAATCTACATTCACAGGGACTGGTGCCTCAGCAAACTCTTCTGCATACGCATAATTCCAGTCATCTATTTCGACCACATCATTCTACAATGCTCTCAGTGGCGGGTGCAGCTTCTCCACATCAAAATCCTCCTTGCGCACTAAACCACACATTGCGAATGCGTGTGTGATATCCTTCTTTGTCTTCGTTTTTACCCACTGGCAAACCCAATCTGCAAGGACGGGTTCTCTGAAGCGTTGGAGATGTATGCATCGTACTGGCGTCCATAAGATTGCTGGAAAAACCGATTCACAGCAACATCAAGAGGCTGAAGAATACCCGTCAGGTTGGGAGGGACAATACAAACATGGATGTTCATCTTCTTCAACCTTTCACTCTCAGCCACCTTCAAATGAGGTCCATAACTATCGATGATCAGAAGAACAGGCTTGCGGCTAAATGCCGTCTCTTTTCTTGATGCTATTGTGTCGTTGATGAATGAGATGATTGTGTCCATACTCCCCATCCCCGTCATGTTAACATCAACAACCACAGACTCTTCCACCGCTGGCTTGTTCTTCAACTTCGCGAAAAGAAGGTGAGGCTTCAACATTTCACCAGCCATGGAGATAGTGAAAGTGACGGTAAAGCGTTTGTGTGAGCTGCTTGCTTTGCGCATCAGCACCTCACGTGTCCCTCGCGTTGCAATTGTAGATGACGACTCTGTCTCGAAGTAGCGCGGGACCTGATTCATATTGAAAACGTTAACCGGGGAAATGCTATGCTTGTTAATGACGCTGTGGATTTCGTCAATGAAAGCTCTGCATGTGTCTGCAGCATCGGAAGGCAAGGTCCTTGAGGTTGTGTGTCGTCGTGACACAAACCCCTTTCGGCTCTTAAAGCGCGTCATCCAGCCCGTCAACCCATCGAAGACCGCACCCTCCTCCACCTCTCCCTTCTTCTTCTGCAACTTATAAATCACTCGAGCTTTCGCCTGTATGTATTGATCTCTAACTCTCAGTCCGCTTTTGTTCTTCTGCAAAACCCACTGCTCGAGCTGCTCCTCCAATTCGTCATGCGCAGGCTTCCGCCCCCCACCCCCAAGCCGGCGTTGTGTTCTACTGTTCGTTATTGTGTTTTTCAAAGCTTCCTCCAACTTGTCTTTTTGCGTGACCCACTGGCGCAGTGTGAACTTGTCGACCCCAAATCTCCTCCCAACAATGTCGAACCCTTTCCCTTTAACACCCGGCACATACTCTTTGACTATATCCAACTTTGCCTTGATGGACCACGACTTCCGTTTCTGACCGTCACCAAGTGGACGGGGTGCCATTTCTCTCTCTCTCTCTGTCTCTCTGTCTCTCTCTCTCTCTCACACACACACACACACACACACACACACACACACACACATAGGTACGTGCCTCTTTCCAAGAAGAACCAACTAAAAGTGTCGTTCGTTGGTCTGTATCTGACCGCAATTGGGGTCCAAGAAATCGCCCCTGCAGTTGACAACACACTACACACTTAGGGGCCTCGCTCCACTACACAACACAATACATGCATTTGGAAACTTTCTGGAGCACATGCACACCGGACGAAGAACAAGGCAAGAAAAACAAAAGTGCAACTTTTCAGACATTTCTTTCCCCCCGCTGCACAACTTCCATTATCTAATCCCACACACACTCTCTACCTTTGACACCTGCTTAAACCACCAGTACCCTGCCCAACCGAACTTTAGTCGCCTCCTGAATTCATGGAGGACGTGGGCAGGCCTAGTAGAGGCTCGGTACAGCCTTGACGCATGCGTGGTGGTCGCTCGTTTTGAAAACGGAAACGGGCGACCAGAGAATCAAAAAAAAAAACAAAGAAAAAAAAAAGGTGAGAAAACGAAAGAAAATCTCTCCCTCTGAAAACGGCATGAGCGGGGGGCTGTTCCTCTTGGAGACGTTCACTCAATGTACGAGAAAAGAAAGAAGAAAAAAAAGACAGATACACCGGTCAGATTCGCTTGGAACATGGAAATATAGGGCCTCACTCCACTACTCTCTACATGTGCAAAACGAGAGTGAATCTTCCGCTAGAACACGGAGAGATACACTGCCATGATTTGTCTTTTGTGGACATGGAGAGAGTGGAGCGAGGCCCATACTAAAGCTTTGTAGCCCTTTTTTTTTTTTTTTTTTTTGAAAATCGAGAAATTGTCCAAAGAAAAGGAAAAAAATAAAAGATCCACTGCCACGATTTGTCTTTTGCGGTTGCTGCTGACAATGCTGAGTGTTGGAGTGTTCATCCTACGAGATTTGCAATGGCCCACGCTGAACTATTTTCCAGAGTTACCAAAAATGAGAATGAATTTTATGCCGGAACACGGAAGGATACAGAGAAGATCCGCATGGCCCTGCTGAAGAATGATGACTTCTGGCAATAGAGCCATTCATGGCTCTCTGTCTACGAGCCCGCCATCTGTGCCTTCGTCTGCTCCTCTGGCAGGAGCAGCCACCCTACGGGGAAAAAGAAAACGTAGGAGAGAAAAAGGAAGAAGGGAAAAAAAGAAAAACAAACAAGGGAGGGAAAAAAACGAAATAACTAGCACAAAAAAAAAAAAAAGTACAGGTCGTCAGCATTGAAGGACCAGTCAGCCCCATATCACGACCACTTGCAAGCTGCATTCCCATAAGACCAAGAGGTTCGGTAGATTGCCAACTACAAGGTTTGGGAAGGCTGCTTTGGGGGTAAAAATGTTGTGTCCAGGAGACTACCCACAGCCACTACCAATTTCAAAACCAACTCTCTCTCTCTCTCTGTCTCACACACACACACACACACACACACACACACACAGGTACGTGCCTCTGTCCAAGAAGAACCAACTGAAGTGTCGTTCGTTGGTTTGTATCTGACCGCAATTGCGGTCCAAGAAAACGCCCCTGCAAATGAT